GGGGCTCGACTGAAATGAGCCAACGAAAGTTTATTGACAGCTGTCAATCACCCAGCTGGCTGGGACACGCACAGCGATGCGACATGGGAACGGGGAGGGGGTCACCACGGTAAGGAAAGCAAGCTGTACGGGCGCGCACTTACGGTGCGTACTTATATGACCACACACAGCTGGACACGCAGATAGGTCTGCTAAGATTAAAAACAAACAACCGGGGCTACATGCAGAAACACGACGCATATGCCTCACAGACTTAAAAGCGCTGTCTGGATTTTATCACATGTTTTTGAAAACGTGCTGTTATCTGAATAAATGAAAAGGTTCGCGTTCCAGGTATCTGCATGGATATGGAAGAAGACTTGTCGAGCACCGGATCAATAGATTTATTGTCCTGAGCTTTCGAATATAATTACCCCTATTTTGTTGCTACTTCTCACCTCTGAAGACGGATTCCTGCAAGAGTTCGAAAGCTCAGGACAATAAATCTATTGATCTTTATCCGTGCTGTTATCTCTCCGTTGCTCGCGTTAGGATAATTCCTTGCCTGCTTATCACATCCGCCAACTAACTTAAGATTTCTAGCCTTAGGAGAGCGCGTTTTCTTGCTGTTTTTGGTGAATATGCCTAGTGACTCCCAGAGTAAATTTTACAAAGGTCGGCCTTCTCCATCCGAGAAACCATGGTAAAATTTTAACTAGCAGCGAATAGTTGAAGTGTTTACACTGTGCGCCACTTTCAAAAAATGGGCATCAGAGGCTTGTCGAGTGTTATCGAGGGTGACTGTCTAAATTTTTCCGTCGTTTCACTGCATGACACAATAGTGGTCGTGAGTGCAACCGAATTTGTAGAAAGTCTGTGGGGTCCAGAGAACCCAACTGATGGATATGGATTAAGTCCTCTAGAATTGGCACTGAACTTCAAGCGTGCCCTCATTAATTTTCTCGAATGCGAGATTCACCCAGTATTCGTGTTTACTGGACTAAACGATGCGGCTGTAAGTTTATATTTTATTTATTTATTTTGCAGGGCATTGAATGGTTCTCTAAATGGGAAAGATTACGACAGAGCCGCGTGTCTCTACCAACTGCAGATTTGAAATTATCACCGTCTCGCTTTCGATGTTCAAAGACTCAACTTCCACCGAACCATCTAGTATTATTATCTGTTCTACAGGAACTGTGCATTAAGTATGTATTTTCTACAAGACAAAGTGCGGGCGCTGCCGCCGCTCTAGCCGTTCTGCTTGACTGTCCATTAATTAGCAATAACTCCGACAACTTTATAATTTCGTGCAATCCTTCACAAGACTCTCAAAAGTTATGCTCTAGACTGAAGTTCATACCTATTTCAGGCTTGCGTCTATCACCTGTTGAGTTGCCATCTGAAGCACCCGTCGACTCAAAAGCACGCTACTTTCTCCAGGCCCATGTATATAATCCCACGGAATCTGTTTTAAGTCGTCTCACTCCTGTTGCGTGCCGAATATTTGGGGTTTTATTTGGTGACGAGTCTTGCCCCCGTCTCAAATTGCCTGACGAAGTCGATAACGCAGAACTCAGTGATGATTTCGGTCGTTTCGACTGGAAAATCAGCAGAGATGCCCACAAACTGGCCAGGTGGATTGAAGACATCGGACCGACCTCTGCTGTTCTGTCTGTTGCATCTGCCGTTAAGGACGCCGGGCTCAAGTCCCTTATATCACGCTGCGTGCCTGATGCAGTATCGCGCACTCAGCTAGATCTGAGGGAAGCCCTTCAACTTGCCGAAAGTTTAGACTTATCAATTGCTTCCGAGGATGTCAAAAATATC